CTACAATTTACCCTTCCCCTGAAGTTAAACTTGCTTCTCCTGCCAACAATAACATAGCAGAATTATTTCAACAGAATTATATCAACACTTCTTCTGTTTCAATATTAAGTTCAAGCATCTGTTAACAACTTATTGCTTGTTGTTGTTGTTACTTGGCCAGATCCTTTATCTGTATACAACCTACTCATGCTGTAGTTCGCTTTCTTTCAATACTTATTTGCTTTTCCCACAGTCTGCTTCAAATTTTCTTTCTTTCAACCCACAACAACTTGATATTTTTTTAAGTCCCTTTTTCTATGGACAGTTTTCTCCTAGGACCTAAGTCACTTCACAAATAGTTTCTTTACCAAAGTCGACTATCTTCTACCTTACTCATGGAAGCAACAGGAAGAGATTGTAACAAAAGAAACATGGGCACATCAGCTTATCCATAATAAAAAATTACAGAAACTACATTTTATTTGTGAAAATATACATTTTATGATTTTGCAAACAATGGAAGAGCTATTGAAAGAAGCATACGAATACATTTTATGGAACATTTTATGGAACACCATGGGATTAAAAAGTGAAAAAGAAAAACCCGTTACTGCCCAGTAAAACTACTAGGGAGGGGCTGCAGGTTTTTAATATTCCTGTTTTCTTTCCCTTGAGATCAACTAAGGAAAATGGAGGTGCTTCTAAAGCTCTTGAGACTGAATGGAACCTATAATAAAACAAGTGTATGGTTGACTGGACCTCAAGAAATAAGTAGTTTCCCAACCCTGTTCTGAGATGAGATTAAGTGCATGTAATCTATGCCAAGAGGTCCGTCTAACCTGTTCTTCGGAACTGTCACTGATGAGAGTTTTAAATTCTCCCCTGGTAATTTGTTACTTAGTTGTCTGATAAGTTGGGAAAATGGCTTGTCAAAGGTGCTTCATTTAAAGAGAATATACCTACAGAAAGAAGCAGGAAGACTCCTACTTCTAAGGACTCAGGCAGTTAGAAACTGCATCCAGACGTTTTCTTGTTCATGAGGTCAAAGAGGCAAGAGCTCTCTCTTCTTGTCCTTCTCTAGTTGCAGGTCTTTTGGAAGCAGTGTGCAATCCATATGCAAGGTATTCAACGGCATATTGATTTGACTTATCACAAAGGAATGTCTGGAATTTTGATCTTCTCTTTCTTCCTTCCACTTACCAAGAAAATTCTCTGGGAAGCTGAACTCCCTCTTGACAACCAGTACGACTGTGAAGTCACAAGAGGTGCCATTGAGCCTATCTATGACCATGAGCATCAGAAAAAAAAAAAAAAGAGGGCTTTTCTGTGAATATCTTCATTATTATCTCTGACTTGGAGCAGGCTCACCACCACGCTGAAGTGGTTACACTGCAAGCAGTACCTGAAACAGTTTACAAACTATTTCTAATGTGTCAACACTACACTACAATACACTTGAATACTGTGCTCAGTTTTGGCCTCCTCACTGCAAGAAAGACATAGAGGAGCTGGAGAGTGTGCAAAGCAGGACAATTAAGTTGGTGAAGGGGCTGGAACACAGACCCGATGAGGAGCAGTTGAGGGAGCTGGGGTTATTTAGTCTGGAGGAGGCCCAGGGGAGACCTTATCGCTCTCTACAACTACCTGAAAGGAGGTTGTAGTGAAATGGGGGTCAATCTCTGCTCCAGAATAAATACCCATAGGATAAGAGGGAGTAGTCAAGCACTGGAACAGGTTGCCTGAGGAAGTGGTAGAGTCACCATCCCTGGCAGTGTTCACAGAACATGTAATGAGGCATTTAGGGACACTTAGGGACATGGCACTTAGGGACAGGGATGGTGGTTTATGGTTGGACTCAATGATCTTGAAGTTCTTTTCCAGCCATAATGTTTCTATGATTCTACAAGCACATCCATTGTTTGAGAAGAGAGACTGACTGAAAAGAGGAGTTATTAATATTTACAGAAAGCTATTTGTCACATCACAAGGAAGTTGACAGTAATCGAGAAAACATAAGTCATCAAAGCTGGATTTAGTAATTCAAATACTCGCTAATGAGCACTATTAGCAAATTAGATTACATCAAATGGATTGGAATACAGCTCCAAAGAAATCATCACACATATTCACAATGCTGTAGCAGATTAGAATACGACTTTATTTTAAGAAGAGCCAGACAGATCTCTCAGTTTATTCGGCTGGAAAATACAAAGCATCTTCCAAAGTTTCAGTGCATCACCTGTGGTTACACTGAGCAACATTTATTTTATTAAACCTTTATTCAAGGCATATAGATTAATATACCACTCTCAAAAGCAGCTATTTAATAACTCACGAACCCTTCCAAGTAACCCTTCAGCTATCCCATATTTATTCACACAACGTATCTGCGCATAGGCCCTGAGGAAGACTGTGACACGTTTTGCTGCTTTGCTGCTACATTTTCTGAATGGTTGTTTGTTGCCTGTGTGTCCTGCTGACTGACACGTTACAGAAGTTACGGCAGAAGTGAATCAGTTTGCTCTCTTTGCCCTACTCCTTCAGTGGAGATCACGAAGTCAAAAAACTCAATCCAGAAACTCCAAAGCTTTGAGCTCCCTCTGCTGTATTTTGGATGGAATCGTTTTGCCCCAGGAAATCTATAAATTACTTGGCTAGTAACAGAATCATTCTTAGCACTTAATTTCTGGGAAACTTCCACTGCAATCAGAGCTGGTTTAATAAAATGTTCCTATTAAATTTTATTCTGATGTGGTGCAGTTATGATGTGTTGACCCTGGCAAACACTTCCTTCACTAAACCCGTGAGAATTGCCTTGGGAGGAAATAATGAGAGGAAAGCAAGCTGCTTCAGTATTTTCATCTGTGAATGGCAGAGTTAATATCAGATACAGACATAATAAAAGGGATTACTAAATCACCATGACAGACATAAGAAGTAAGTTCAAAAGTATTTAAGTGATGATTTAGATGATTTATATCTTCAAGTTCCTTATTTGCTGCTAATGTAGATTGTCTTAGAATTACACTGATGTATGGAACTGCTTTCACATCTCCTCATATGCCAATGTTGAATTTGGCCAAGTTCATAAGAACCTCTTACAACTTAAATTTATGTTGCGTTCAGTTGTATGTCAAGGGAGCCAGAAAGGTACAAAGTATGCTGATTCAGGCTTCCTTCAGGTAGCCTTGTCTCTGAATGCGGCCACTGACATCGCTAAGCACAAGCTGTGCACCATGCACACACTTCTTTGTATCTCATCTTGCTTTGCAAAAATAAGATGAGGTGATAACTAATTGGATTTTAGACTTCTGTCTTGCTACTAGTGTTACTATGGCTTATACGTTCATTCTAAATTAATCCACACATAGCAAATACAGATTTTATTTGGCATCATATTATCCCTGTTTACCCTCTTTTTCCCTTCTTCTGATAAAAGTATCTTCAGGACTATAGAAACAAAATACTTCCCTCACATAACACAGGCTCATCTCATCCCAGCTCAGATATTCCGTGCCAGTTCCTCCCTGTCTACTTTCACAGCTTGGAGGTTAATTCCCTCCAATTTGCTGCATTTACAGGCTCCACAGAATCTCTCATTTAAACAGGTTAAATATTTCATGTGAAAGACTGCACTTTACGGATCTTTTAAAATCTGTATGATTAGAAGACCTGTTATCATTCCTGTGTGAGGAAAAGAAGAGCAGGCCGATAGAAGCCCCATTGTTCATCATAAATGTGGGGATTAGCTGATCAAAATCAAAGAAAGCATTGCTAAGGCCACAGCAGAGGAAACAACTTTAAGGGAATGCTTCTTTGGAGGAGACAATGTTGTCCAGTGCTCATATAACCTGGGAGGACAATAGAGGAAACTAATTTGGTATTTAGTATGAAGTGCACATTCTTTTCATACCCTTGTGGCTACCCTTCTGGGTGTACAGATTGGGGCCTATAGTCCCAGATGCTCATTTTCTTGATCGTGCACAAGATTGGCTCCACGAAACAGATTGAAACAGGATGCTGAAAATCTAGCGGCTCTGTCTAAGGAGGGCTTGTGCTTGTGGGAGTTTTGTAAATGTTTGGGGAGTAGGAGTTGCTCTTCAAGCTGCAATGTGAGACCGGAGAAGGAAGAGATGCGGAAAGTGATAACGCCTAAGCCTGTGTATCTGAGACTGTAATCTCTTTATGGCCAGGACCACAGTTCTATTTGTGTGCTGCAGCAGTAATAAATTAAAGGATATACCAGAAAGAATTTAGTAATGGGGGTAGCTTGAGGTATTGACATGCCAGTGTTCACCGAAGGAACAAGGAAAGCCCTCAAGCACCTACAGCGTCTTGTGAGGAGAAGCTGTATGGCTGTTCTGAATTTCCAAGACCTACAGATCAGTGGGACAAACTTGAACTCCCACATTTAAGACAAGTTCTCAACCATTCATCTTGTATAAAAATTGGCTTTGAAGTACAAGGACTTCAAGTCTGCCCTATCTCTTCTTTTTAAAAGGTCCAGAGTTATTTCACATGCAGATTAATCTTTGTGAGCAATAAGTGATGTGCTAGAGGACCATGTTTCTAGGGAAAAGCTCGAGTCTCTGGGGGCAGCCTGAGAGCACTCCTTGTCCGCCCAGCGCCCCAATGGGCCTCAGGGGTGGCTCTGGACAGGGCGCAGGCAGCGCCAGTTTCTATCCCACTAAACCGTGTACCAGGAGGCTGCTATCGCACTAAACCGTGTACCAGGAGGCGCGAGGGGATGGCAGGCTGCTCCCTCGCGGAGGGGCAGCACGGGCGGAGGCGCCTCGGGGCGCAGAGGCGGAGGCGCGGGGGCCCCCCACGCCTCTCCTCACAGCTCCCGCTCCCCACGCCTGCGTGCGCGGCGCCTCTCCCGCCCCACACCTCAGCACCGCCCAACGGCCGCCCAGCGCCCCACCCAACGGCCGCCCATCGCCCCGCCCAACGCCCCGCCCAACGGCCGCCCAACGGCCCACCGCCACGTGACTTCCGGGCCATGTAGGCTCATCTCGGCGGCCCGTGTGACCGGAAGGGATGGGTTCGAAGGTGTTCGGGCGGCCTGGGCGCGCCTAGGGAGGCAGAGGAGGGCGCCCCTTTTCCCGGCGCCATGGATCCCTTCTTGAGCCTCCTGCACTCGTTCTCCTCGGGCATGACGGAGAGCGAGGTCGGCTCCCTCAAGTTCCTGTGCCGGGACAAGATCCCCAAACGGAAGCTGGAGGGGGTGCGCAGCGCCGTGGACCTCTTCGCCTTGCTGCTGGAGCAGCGGGCCATCACCGAGAACGATGTCGACCTCCTGGTGACCCTGCTGCGCGCCATCAAGCGGCTCGACCTGGTGGAGCAGCTGGAGCAGTTCGTAGAGGAAGGCGAAGCCAACGCTTCTGGTCAGCCAGACCCGAATGAAAAACGTAGGTGGAAAATAATCATAACAAATATAGGCACCCCCACCCCGTCCCAAGTGACCAGCTGAGGAGTGGCCGTGGGGACCCTGCTAGCTGCACTTCCTAGCTTGCTCCTGCCAAGGAGCGTGGCCAGCCCTGAAGTGCGCGCAGAGCTGCTGCCCCTTTTCAGGGTGGGAGTTGCTTCCTTCCCCACCTCGTGGTCACTTAGGAGTCCAGTGTTCGTAATTGTGCTTCTCCAGTCATGGGGTGATCTTTGGTATGTGCGCAGGCCCACAGTCAGATGCTGAATCTCTTATGAGTTATGCCTGCAAATCCATTGTTCGTTTTCTATTAATAAGTTGTTTTGCTTTTTCAGGTCTGCAGAAAGCAGCTTTTGACGTCATATGTGAAAATGTTGGGAAAGACTGGAAAAGACTGATGCGATGTCTTGGCTTGCCTGAAGTCAGAATTGACAATATTGAGGAAGCCGAACCGAAAAAATTGAGTCAACGAGTGTTTAAGTCACTCAGAGAATGGCAGAAGTGGAAGGGAAAAGATGCAAAGGTGGATGACTTAATAAAAGGTCTTCGGGCTTGTCACCTGAATCTGGTAGCAGACAGAGTTGAACAGAAACTCTTGCAAATGAACAGTGAAAAGCAGTGAAATCAGTATTGAAATATTTTCTTTGCCACACTGATAGAATGAAAAAAGAAGTGCCTTCTATTCTGAACTATAGTCAACATTGTTGGTTACACCATTAATTTATGAGTCTCAAGATGACTAGGTGAACTTGTTGTCAGACTAACATGGAGGGAGCTGGGGTGGGTGGGGAAACCCTTTCGGGTAATGCTTTGTAGTTTGTTGCTTTGATTGTAGGTATTTTAAGAGAATTTAACTTTAAGAGTGACTGAGCTGCATTTTATGGAAGTCCTTGCACTTTTGTTCTACCTGCCCGTGAATGTAGGATTTGCATTACTGCTGGTGCTTTTCAGATTGGTTTCCTGGATCTACACCTGTGGGATCATTTCTGATGATTTCAAGTTTCTCTGGGTTTTTTATTCACATATTTTTTCTGGAAACATGTTAGTAACTGAAGTGTGAATGGGGAAGAGAGATAAGAGTACCTGCCTGTGTACTGGAATTGCTTGTGTTTTCTGGATAGCATAATGTCTTCTGTGCACTGCTGAAGGCCTTTGCTCCCCATAAAAGCGCACTAAATAGGTTGTGTTCTCAGGCACCAAAACTGGTGCGGTAGGGCTAGTCCCTATTGTGGTGGCTGTTTCTCAGCAGAGAGTGTGCCTGGTTTGAGAACAGAATTGGCTGAAAGCAACAGCCTCTGTCAAGTGCCTTCATCGCCCTAAGGGAATGTTCTGAAGCTATCAAAGAAATTGTCTGTATCTTGCAGACACTTACAGCACTGCCTTTTCACTGCCTTGAGTTTTCTAGGGTTTCTTCCAGGGAAATCCTCATATAGCCCATGCAGAGTCTTCCTGTGCCTCGTGGAAGTTGCAGCTCACCTCATAAATAGAAGGCTGCTGTTATCTGTGCTCTTCGTAACACAGATATATGCTTTAGCAAAACACTAGAAGACAAACTAGTTTCTTTTTGGAGTAGAATGTGAAAGTTTATTGAATGCAAATAAGCAGAATGAACTCTTCTGTGTAGTGACATCCTGTGAAAAATCTCTCTCTGCCACAACTTCTTCACCTTTTCAGAGATGATTCCCAGTCACTTATTTCCAAGTTTTTTGCTTGCTTTTTTTCTTCTTTCTTTCATTCCTTTTCTTCTGTATCTCTTAAAAGCAGTTGTAAGTAGCTCATAGTTGAAGGAGAATTAATGAACAAGACCTGCTTCAGTTTTTAGTTCAGTTTGGGACAAAATTCAAAACTGGTCTTGCTAGCTAAGCTGAGCCTGGGAAAGCTGGGTATGGTTCAAGATGTGTTGAGATGTAGAGGCCTCCCAGAATGAGACCAAACAGAATGCTAGTGGGAAAAGTCCTCTGCAATTGCCTTAATAAGTGGGACTGTTTGTGGTAGCTTGCAACAACATAAACCCCTCTGAAGAGGGGAAGCTTCTTTTTGCTGCTGCACCTGGGTGCTTTTTAACTCCTTTCTGGTTCCCATTTCACGGTGCTTTTATTATGATGGCCTGATGGTCAGCCTGTAACACATTTGTACTCTGTGTATATTAGTCTTTCCTGGAAATGTGAAACTTAGGATTTTGAAGTTTTTATTTCAATTGGCAACTCTAGCTAAGAAGATGCTGAGTGATGATTGAATACCTGGTTACTGGAAAATGATGTAATGTGAATTTTTAAATTATTTTTTTCTCTTCAAAAACTGAGCTATAAGTGATTGCTGAAAATATAATGTACCAACTATCAGTGATTTAGAGTAGCAGTAATGAACCTTCCACCTCTCTGATTTTGGGGCATGTCCAATTTTCTAAGCACTAGCTCCAGGCTGTCAGCATCTTAGCAAGCTGAGGATAAATCTACGCAAATTCCAAACTTCCCATTCTGGATTTAAAAAAGATAACAAAATAAAGTTACGCTTCAGCTGAATGACTAGTTCAAAATCTAGGAGAAAGATTTTGTTTAATGAGAAAGCTTTTAAATTTTGCAGTGTTTAAAGAAAATATTCATTTCAGACTTCTATGTGTCTAAACAATATTTGTTAGGAGAGTAAAGGGGAGGTAAAGTTAGCAAAATGAGTTGTGTTTTGTGGTGAAACAGCTCTGCAGGATTTGTGTTACAGGACAGCTCATGGCACATTCATATTTTGTTTATCTACTTGTTAAAAGTCATCTAGTTCACAGAAGATACTACTTTTTATATTCTAGGTATATGTATGCCATCTACTGCATATAGCCAATGTATTTTAAGAATCAATAGGAATAAATAATTATAGCTGTGTTTATCAATTACAAGCAATCTTCAGAAGATGCAAGTTCTAAAAGATAGAGTTTAAGTAGTGCAAGTTCTGTTGTGTATGCAATAGTGAGCCAAAATGCATCAATGTGTTCAGTACCTCAGGACCAACTAATAACTATTTTTATTAGAGATTAAAAAGTTGATCATGTGAGAACAAAATCAGATGGAACAAAATGGAATCAATGAAACAGAAACCTTTTATTGTAAGAAGGTGGGGGAAGAGAGTGTAACTCTCATAAGGAAATGTATATGTGTTGATATAAATGTTTTTTAGAATTAAAGTTCTATATTTTGTGTACATAATTATATAACATTTCATAAAATATTTCTTTAAAAATAAAATGGAAATGTTTATTTTACTGGTGGAATTGTGGTCTGTGGTAGTTTCTCTAATTAGAAGGAAATAAATGCTAAGGACACTTCTAAAGCAAGAAATGGTGCTAAACAGGCCTTCCCTTAGCAGCAACTTCTCAGAACAGCCTCTCCCCGCAAAGTCCTTCATTGGGTTTTTTTAAGTGCTATGAGTAGCATTTGAATGCTGTCATTCCTAGAAGTGTAAGAGGAAAAAGTGCTCTCCCAGCACTCATTTAGCTCATTCTAAACCTGTTCAGGCTTCTAGAGACTTGAACGTGGTTAGAGGTTATGTTGATACCACTTACTGTGAAGCACAGGGGAGCACAGAAGCGTTCACTGAGTACCCAGAACTTTGGATGTGTAAGATACGTAACCGTTTTAGGAGTTACTAAAACCTTTCCTTTTTGGTGTCTTGAAAGTCATTTTTCCTTATGCCTTAAGACAAAAACATAAAGTATGTTGAGAGCAAAAAGTATCTCAGGACAATTCTCATTTTACAGGTTTCCTTCTTTCATGTTCTGTTGCAGGGAGATCGTGGGCTTCTTCCCTTTGATACTTGCTTACCATTTTCTATGGAGGATGTCAGCTAAATGTTGCTTTCTTTTTTTAAGTAATTTTTTTTTTAAAGTAAAGAAGAAAAAAAAGCATTATTTTCATGGCTAAGTTCAAGTCACATGACAAGTACAAAACTTCTTTTAAATTAAAGTTCCTGTTATACAAACTGGTTGTGAAGGAATATTTCAAATGCAATGTTTGTCTGTCTTTTTCTCGATTCCCGGAACAGAGGCAGCTGTATTTTCTCCAGCCTTTTGTTTCTATTCTAAAGTAACTGCCTACCTAATGAAATCTAATTACCTCATTTAACTGTCTAACACAAAAAGCTTAGTAATGCAGGCTGTATCTGTGAACTTGCTCTGACAGTCGGCATGTCCTTGATTCAGACTTTTGGTGGAGTATTTTGTAATTTTACTAATGACTGTATTTTTTTTTCTTTTATAATTATTAAGATGTGGCTTGTGCTGTTCTTCCTATTCCTTCCATGAATCGTGTCTGTCCTTAGAATGTGCTCCATCATATAAAATAACTTTTCCGATTTGATTTAATATTCTCTCCTCTTTGTCTAATGTTTTTCCTAATATTTTTATTGCAAGTTTTAAGAGTGCAGTGTATTCTGTACAGCATATAGAAATTTTCTGTTTCAACTGTATACCATAAAAATAAGAATTATGAGAGTGAGAGGGAGGGGAAGGATTTCCAATAACTGTTCTTCTAAGTAGTAGAAGTTCAAGAACTTTTCAAGAATCTTTTTGTATTCCTATTTTCCTAATTCAGGATTAGGAACTGTTCAGAGGGAATGATGCAATGGGTTCTGTGAATTGTAGGTTTAGTAGAAAGGAAACACAGCTTTACTCAGCTGCCAGGAAAATCACGATTAATGCAATATGAAAAGACAGATTTTTTGTGTGGGAACTTGCATGGAATGAAGTCACAGACATTGCTAACAATTAAATAGGCATAAATTTCATCAGCACAACTATCTTGAGAACAAAATAGTAAGGAAAAGGAATTACCCAATCATTTCTTAAAAGAAGCTATTCAAAAAGAAATCTTTCTTTTACAGTATTTTATGTAATACATATTATTAAAATGCATCACTTAATACTGGTGAGTTTAAATCCAGTAATTCCTGTGAACTGGTAAGTATTGGAGGTTGGTGTTTATTGTTTTCCAAATATGATATATGCATAGTTCTACTTATGTCTAAAATGCCTTTTCAGTTGCTTTTACTTTAGAGTTTTATTATGTCAAAGAAAGAGGTGGTACTGTGGTTCAGAGCTGAATACAGTATTTCAGAGCTTTCAGTCCACAAACTAACCAGCTACTGTAGCAAAGTTGGGAATCTGATGTCAACTTCATATATTATGAAGGTATGAAACTGTCATCTTGGTTCACTTCATAGTGGTGGAGTCTTTAAGCCAGGCTGTTGTGCTCTGTGGACTTGCATGGAGATGAAAGTTGAATACATCGTACACACTTCTGTGACTGGCTAGAAATTTCCAGGTAAGATTTTACATTAGCTTTAATGTGAAGCAATAGTCTTCCAATTAAAAATACTCACAGTTTTCAGAAAGTTCTCACTTCCTCCTCTTAAGTCCTTTATTCATATTGGATGCAGCAGGACTATTCATTTAAAATGATTTGCAGAAATTAATCTGACGATATTGTTATCTCTTTTGACAATTTTAATGGCCACCCTGTGTGTACACACTACTTGTGGCAAAGTTTTATCCAGAGTTTTTCTTTCTCTGTTTTATGCTTCTACTCAAGTTTGCCTCATTTTTCAGGATTTGTAGTATTTAAAAGCATCCAAATCTCTAAGCATTTTTAAAAAATAGGTTCCCACATATGTATATCTGTTGAACAACAACAAAAAAAAAACCTGAATAATAGGGATAAATACTTTTCTTAGTCTCTCTGAGAGATGCTTCCAGTAGCTTCTAGCTATATTGCCCAATTTTGAAAAAGTTTCAGAGAAAATGAGAATTAAAAGGGTGCAGCATCTGACAGGTCTGGACCCATGAGTTCTTGAATTCAAACCCTTTATTCTTTTTTCTGTTATGCTAAATGTGAACACTTAGTCACAACTTTCCTGCTGTAAAGTGTCTAATACCTGAAGCATTGGCTAGCCTGAATTACCTTCAAAGCTGCAATTCCCCTGCCAGCCCCTTTGCACTGGACATGTGGCTGCAGCTTGTGACCTTCTGGCTATCCCAGCTACCTGGATAACGTTTGGAAGCTGTAACTGATTGTCACACTCACGACAGTCTTCAGTTCTTAACCATGTCAAAAATCTTATGCTCTAAAGCAGGAACATATAACAAATTTTTTCACTCGATTCTTTCTTCTCAGTTCCATTTCCCTATACAGACAGGATATATCAGAAACTCTAGGTCTAGGAGACTGATAAATTTGATTTCAATGCTCTTCTGAAAATTGTGGTGCTTCTATTTGTGTATTCATCTTCAACTGTTGGAATCAAACTAGTGAGTCTAGCTGCATGTTTGTGTGTGAAGTAACTAATATACAATTAGAATTAAAAATAGCTAAGTTTTTACCTAACAGCTACTTGCACATCTGTTGCATGCTACCTACATCGAGCTATTTGCTATGGATTCGACTATACAATTTTCTTAAAAACATTCTTTTTTTTTTTTTTACAAAAGAATACTGCTTTGAATACTGAAGAACTTAATGTTTCCATACAATGGTTGTGATTCTTTAAATCAAAATGTCAAATTCCATATTCGATCTATGAATTTTAAAGGCTATTATATCTTAAACAACCATTTCTGAGCTCCCTTGGTCTGCATAGTATGTTTTATTTTCCTGGAACGCTGTGATTCCCAGCACTGCAGCACTGACTTGCTTCCCACCTTTATTCACAAGAGCGAATGAGGTTACTGAGTCAGTAAGAGTTTAAGTGCCTAGTTTTCTGTTAGACTAACATAACAGTAATTCAAGTAGCTCACTGTGGGCAAGAGGCAGCACAAGCAGGGGACCTGGCTTGCTGGAACAGTAGTTCTGTGGATGTTTCCTGCATCCTAATTTTCCAGGAGGGAAAATTTAGGTTGAACTGGATATTATTTTTTCTTTAAGAAGAATTGTTTTAGTGAGCAATGACTCGTAAAGTCACAATTGCCTCTTGCCACAGGAGGCCTGGCCAGCGGTGAGGTGTCCGCTGTGCAGGTATGACCTGTGGGGAGCTCAGTTTGCTTTGTGGGCAGCTTTGAGACGTTCCCACAGGCTAATGAAGCGGTATTAGAGAAAATTAGGGAGAAATTAGGATATAGTTACTTCTACCTAAATGGTACTTGAAGTGCATCACAGGCTTGTCTCAATTTCTTCTTTAAAAAGGTTACTTTTGTTCCTTATTTCCCTCCTGCAAAATCATACCACTCCCATCATTAATTTTGAGTTATTACAACATACAAGACCAGGGGAGGCCAACAGTGGTTTTCTTGGTGGTTTGAAGAGGACTTTGACATTTCTGGAATCACCCCTACTCATTCAGACAGCCCACTCCAGTGGTTTTTAGTACTTTCATATAGGATAGCTCAACCAGGAGAAAATTGGGCACTGCGAATTGCCATGATACCTGTAAGCTGGACAGGGAATATTATGTTTTTGAAATGTTATCGTGTCAAATGCTACAGCACTAGTGGCAGGGGTTTTGTTTGTTTGTTTGTTTTTCTCCCCATGAGAAGTAATGGGGAGCTGCTGTCTGCAGAACCCTGCCAGCTCGCTTCACTCGTGTTTGCTGCTACTACAAAGGTGGCATTCTTAGAGGCAGACAAAAAACCTCTAATCATGTAACTGAAATGAACCACAAGAGCTGAAAAACACTTTCTTCGTGCACTCATAAACCTTGCTAGGAACTAACCAGTGTTATATACAGGTTTTTCTGCAGCATGTTGTTAGCAAACTGATATAGGTAAGAGATGCTATTAGCACTTAATTTTGGGAGC